CATCTTAAATCTTAAAATGCTGCGAAGAACTTATTGCGAAAAATATTATCTTTGCTAGGGTTTGAACTTGAGCCCTCCCGACTTTTCAGGGCAGACGTCTTAACTAATTCGACCACCGAGGCATGTGATAATATTTATCGACGGGTTAGTTAATATTTTTTTAAAATTAAGTTAAGTTAAAGTTAACAGTCTAAAAATTTAACTTATTATATTATAGTTAAGAGGATGCTGAAAGGTCGGCCAAATTTGTACAAGGTCGATAAAGCAGACTTTTCAGTGTCAGTGGTATCTTTAAATGAACTTCTTACAATATCTTCTGGTCTCACTCAAACACGTGGAATGTCCTTATTTAACTTATTGAAGTGCCATCTCTTGGAAAATCCGGCACTTACTACCAGACGCAATTTTTGCTGTCTTTACTTTAGCCGATAGTACGAATTACCACAAATTGCATTCTAATAAACAACTTTTTTTCTATGCTTCCAATCGTAGCTCAAAAGGTTTTGTATTATTCGTGCAAGTAATCCGATGTGCGCTAGGTACATTTTTTGTGCATATGAGCTGCAGAACTTTTGTATCAATAAAATGTTTACGTCAGGTGATAGGTTATGTACCCCAAAAAAAGTAAATTTTGAATATTTTTTCGTTTTTACTATTCATATATACCTAGCGCAATAATATTTTATGTCTATTTTAATCCTGTAAAAGCGTTTTTAAATCCGTTCAATTGTTTCGGTGTTATCCATTAGAATGCAAATGTCGGTAATTCCCGACCTTCAGCATTCTCTTAAGATACAAGTTAGTCCCTAATAAAATTAATTGAGTAAAAAGTTAATAAAAAATTAATTGAGTTAAGTTAATAAAAAAAGTCAATTTGTGTCTGCATCATAAAGTTATTCTCGATTGAAAATGTCAGTTTACGAGCCAAATTCTCGTCATTTGCGGAAGGTTTTAATTTTCTACTTCAATATGAAGAAATCTGCGACTGAGGCTCATCGAATGCTCTTAAATACTTATGGTGAGGCCGTTACTAGTAAAAGAATGTGTCGTGAGTGGTTTCAACGCTTCAAGAACGGTGATTTTGACATCAAAGACCGGTATAGCAGTGGAAGAGAGAAGGTTTTCGAAGATGCAGAATTGGAGTCATTACTTGATCAAGACTCGTGCCAAAATCAAGAAGAATTGACACGATCATTGGGAGTGACTCAATAAGCCATTTCAAAACGCCTCAAAGCCATGGGAATAATTCAGAAGCAAGGAAATTGGGTGCCGTACGAGTTGAAGCCGAGAGATGTTGAACGGCGTTTGTTTGCTTGTGAACAGCTGCTTGAAAGGCAAAGACGGAAGGGATTTATGCATCACATTGTAACTGGGGACAAAAAATGGGTTCATTACGATAACCCCAGCGCAGAAAATCATGGGGAGTTTCCGGCCATGCTTCCACGTCGACGGCTAAACCTCCCGCAAATGACGAGAATTTGGCTTGTAAACTGACATTTTCAATCGAGAATAACTTTATGATGCAGACACAAATCGACTAATGTTTCTATGGGGTTACGTTGACAGATGCCCAAGTTTATTATATGACGTCTATGATCTATTTATTTCGACCACTATTTACCGCTAAAACTATCTATAGAAAAACGGTGGAAGCAAAGTTGTACATCTAATAGCACCATTTGACTACGTAAAGTAATACTACCTGACACGCAAAAAATCCGTGTATTGCATGGAAATCACGGGCGACGAGCCGCATGGACGCGCGCGGGGGCTACGTCTTTAAATCTCTATAGCCCGGTCAATTTGACGAATTTCATTTTAATATTTTAGAGACACATTTTCAAAACCCTAAATTATAAGAATATGCAAAAAAATTGAATTTTTTGACCGGTCACACTAGAATACCCCCTTAAGCGCTTGAAAATTTGTTAGGATGTATGCATGCGATATTTCAATGTATTAGTAAACATATGTGGTAGTGAACATATCACTACACACTACTATATCAATAATGCGCACATACGTACAAATCATTGATAAAACAGCGACGTTTTGAACTTTGATCTTCAGTTTAACATCCCCTTAAATATTACAAAATCAAATATCGATTTTTGCGTTAATGAATCCACGTACTGGCATTACGTCATATATCAATGCGCAAAGAAGCACTGCATTGGTAACAATATGCCAAAGGATGATGGGTGCATAGACGTGCTCCAGTGTGTCGCGACATCGTAGTAGCTTCTGATGCTTTGCCACACACATTCTTAACAAATCCGAAAACTTCTCGGTGGACAGAGGATTCGTGAGCCTGAAGGTCATGGCGCGCATCGTTGAGGCGAACTGATATACAAAGAAACCAAAGACGCTGTCTACGCCGCACGCCGTGAAGCTGCTGAATACTATTAGACTTGTCTCGAAGAGCAGATGAAGATGATATAAAAAGTTGTCGGGAACGGTCCAGAGGTGTCCGAATCCTTTGCTGAGTGGCAGGGTGTAGTTCGTAGTTAAATGGAGGAGATTGCGGATTATGAAGATATATGTAGGCGCAAAAAACGCCAAGCACATTCCTAGCACAATAACGAAGTATACGTACGCTAGGATGTACATTCTGCGCAGGTGTGAAAATATTAACATCCGGATTTTCTCATTTTGCCTAAGTTCCTCCTCGAAAAGATCGTTTACCGTCCGGTGATAATTTATCAGAGATTTGCGATTTATCATAAAGCTTATCATCTGAAAAAGGATCAGAAATACATATTCCTTCTTCGTGCAAAATATATATATCTAATAAATTATTCACAGATTGACGTGGCACGTTTAATACTACAATTTTTAATTTGTAATATTTGAATATCAAATCAAAAGTTTTTTCTCTTTGTGAAAAGAGGAACAGTAAAATAAAAGAAAGATGAATGTTACAATAAAAAAATGGTGTTCATTAATTAAATATAGAATACTAAATACTTTCTAACTGATTATTGGCTAACGTAAGTTAACTATGCTAATTTTATTTTTTAACGAATTTTGAATTTGTTTGAGAATTTTCATCTAAACTACAATATAAATTTGGCCGATTCTTTAATGAATATTAAAGATACATAAAAATATATGTAAACATATTTATTTTCAGAATTCGCTAGAAAATGTAATTTTATACTTTATTAAGTTCGTCGAAGTTTAATTCGTGAATATGTTGTCATATTTAATGTATTAAAATATATCTTGTTGTATTCATATAAAATATTTTTTTTACTTGTAGTAAAATGCAAGTTTCTTTTAGGACACACCTTAAGAATAGTACTAATTGCACTTATTGTTAAGCCTATGCTTTTCATTATATTTCCCAAGTTATGTCTAAGAATAAAGCTCATATGTAAGCTCATCATTGCGTACATGATCATCAGCATGAGCACAAAAAGTGACCAGTAGTACGTCGATTTGCCGGACTTTGTGGGCATGTACCAACAGCCGCAGATGACAAGTAGAATCCGAAGAAAATTTCGGTATGTGTTATACGCTCGTAACTGTTTATCGATCATCTTGATAATCGCATCAAATAACTCAAAAAGACGTCATTGGTAAGGTTTCTATACTGTAAAACTCGATTATTTTTAATGTTAAAGATTTAACTTTTTGTAGTTAATTTGCAGAGAAGAAATTTACAGTTTCCTTAATGAGGGAAAATATCTCTGATTTATCTTTTCAATATTACATTTTCTTTTCAAACGCTGAATTTTCCTATACAGGGTGTCCCAAAATTCGCGGATTAGGAGTACAGAACGTGATACTTTGTGCTAAAAGGAACAACTTTTTCCTTTAGCAAATTTTGATCTGTACACAAGTGACAAGTAATTTTGGCAGGATAGCTGGTCAAAGTTAACGAATAATCGCTCTTGTCCATGGGGCGCTCAGGGCTGGATCCTCCATTCACTTGTTCCTAACCCTTGGCTAATATTTACAAGTAATGTCTTAAGATACTAATACGGCTCTGTTATAATTAGTTTACGACATTTTAAGACTGTGTTTAAGACAGTCTTAAATATTAAGAATCAATATAAATATATTTTATTGCTTGAAATATGAATAGTTAATAAAATAAATATTGATTTAAAAAAATAAAATCAAATAAGTATTGATAAATGGTATCACTGAAATTAAATAGTTTACTAATTTTTAAGTAAATTCTCAAGTGCTGAAAAATTGCTTTATTGTGTTACAGTGATTAAAAGTAAAGCAAAATATTTAAGATATTTTAAGAGCTAATTCTCTCTTTACTTTTTCGCAATAAAAAATGCCAAAAACTTGTCATTTTAAGACAGTCTTAAGTATTTCACTCTTTCGGTTATTTCCAATATTGCTGAAAAATTCGTAAAATTTTTAAGAATATCTTTATTTGTAAATTGGCTTATGTGGGAATTAATAAATTGAGCAGATTCATTAGTACATAAAGATTCTCTTCATCATCACATCGAAAAATCATATCAGAAGAACTTTATTC